TGTGTGTGTGTGAGGCGTGGCACGAGGCGTGTGTGTTTCAGGAGCAGCAGCTGCGTGTGTGTCAGGAGTGTGTGGCTGTGTTTGTGGCATCGCTGCACTGGGAACATGCGGAGAAGAAAACAAAAGTGACGGAGACACACACAGCCCTGCTGCAACTACAAACACTCCTCAGACCAGAGATACTTCACATTGACATTACACACACCATCAACAATCACCGGCTGGTGAGCGCGCACACACAAACACACACACACTCAAACACGCCCACACACACATACACACACACACACTTAAACACACACACTCTCGCGCACACACACTTAAACACACACACTCTCAAACAAACACACACACACACACGCGTGCGCGCGCGCTCACACACACACACACACACTCACACACTCAAACACACACACACGCTCGCTCACTCACACACACTCAAAAACACACACACACTCAAACACACACACACGCCTTTATAGTCTTTCAGGACCTTTCTCCTGTGGAGTGTCGTGAAACAATCTCTGTCTCTGTCGAGGCTCTTGAGGAGGCGGAGCTCCGGCTTCAACAGGAGGAGCTGAAGTGGGAGGAGTCAGTGAATGGGCGGGGCTGTTCGAGCTCAGATGATGATGATGATGATGATGATGATGAAGAGGAGGATGTGTTTATGGTGGACGGTGGAGTCAATGCTGTCCTGCAGGAGGTGATCTTCAGAAGGCAGCCTTTGATTGACAGGTGCGGCTCACCATTATACTGATTATCTGTGTGTGTGTGTGTGTGTGTGTTGCCCGGTTCACACCTGATGTTAACATCCGTCTCAGCTGATCTGATTCTGTTACATTAGATGAATTCATCTGTTGTAAAATTCATTATTAATCTTGGAAAGTGGGTTGTGTAGAGTTTGGTGCAGCTGTAGTTTTAAGTCAAAGTCAACATACAAGCACACACACACTCATGTCGCTCAGGGCAAACACACGGTAAAAATCTCCGTCTGTCAGGAGGATTGACAGACGAATCACTATTAATAGCTCTGGACTATCAACATGTCACGCTCCCTGACAGCGGATGATTGACAGCTGAGTGGGCGGAGTCACTGCTGTTCATCAGTGTCACACGCTGCATAAACTTCTGAGACTAGCATTATAAGCTGCTTTTCTGTTTTTTTCTTCAAAACTGCTCGTGTCCTCGTGAAGTCAGTTTAATAAAAGTGTAGATTGGTGAAATTTGAGTTTGAAAAGTAATACTAACTGCTAGACTGAAATCCCGTTTACACTGAGACAGATCTTAATATCAGCTGTAAACAAACCATGAGGTGCAGACACGCTGTTCTTCATCATCATCATCATGTGTACGTTCATATGGAGATACCGACCGTCTGTGTGTGTGTGTGTCTGTTTGTTTGTGTGTGTGTGTGTGTGTGTTTGTGTGTGTCTGTTTGTGTGTCTGTTTCTGTGTGTGTGTCTGTTTGTTTGTGTGTGTCTGTTTCTGTTGTCTGTTTCTGTGTGTGTGTGTGTGTCTGTTTGTTTGTGTGTGTGTGTGTGTGTGTTTGTGTGTGTCTGTTTGTGTGTCTGTTTCTGTGTGTGTGTCTGTTTGTTTGTGTGTGTCTGTTTCTGTTGTCTGTTTCTGTGTGTGTGTGTGTGT